GTATATAAGGCAAAACTTCATCATGGGGAAAGCCAAGTGCTGAAACACATTATCCCAAAAGGCTGTGCAGCTTTCAAGACCAATGGCATGCAGCCCTGAACAGCTGATCTGATTTTATAGCTAACCCTGCTCTGAGGATCAAATTGGGCTAGAGACCTCCTGATGTCCCTTCAGATCTGAATTCTCCTATGAGTTCAAGAAACTTGCCACTACATTTCAGTGTGTCAAAAAAAACCCCAAAAACCCAAAACAACAACAACAAAAAGGCCCCCCCCCTCCCCCCCGCACACAATTACGGGAACGTCCTGCCTTTAGGAAGAACTTCTTTCTGATTCCCAACAGTCAGAGTTGGACAAACACCAGAATGAAGTGTGACTTAACACTAGCTTCTGCAGTTACGAGGGAAACCTACACTAATAGCTGCAATTAAGATGCTAAAAGCTTTCCTAAAAAACAGAGAAAGCTTGTGATTGGCATGTTCAGACAAGGATTCCCAATTTTAGACTCTGACACTTATCTTGAAAAAAGCTAAAAGGAAATAGCTCAATTCTCAGCCAACAGAACTTGCAAAGGTTAAGAACATCTGAAAAAACAATGGGTCCCTTTCATTTAATAGCTAAAGGCACAACTTTAAAGAAATTTTAGGTACCACGGTTTGAAAACTTTGCCTACATTACATGGCAGCAGAGAATTTTTGGTATTTCTCATCAAAACAGAAGTTAATGTCCTTTGAATATGGTGAGCAGATGGTAAATGAAACATTGAGAGTATTAAAGTGCAGGCACAGAAGAATCCAAAAAATAACTGAATAGCATCTTGAGCATTGAAATATATAGTGTTATACTATTGCAATTCACATGATAAAATACGTCTGTATGTACTATAGTGCCCCAGGTAGCAGAGAGAGAAAATTGTACCTTTGTAGTATTTGTGAAGCATCTTCTCCTCCACTGTTACAAACTGATCATAAACTGGTACTACGAACAGATGTATATAGCAGAAGCATGGAAAACCAGGGCTACACCAGACTTCAGAGGTCAAATTGTTGACCCAGGTACTCAAGCAGCATGAAGCACAGCCTTTTTACGAGGACTTAATCACTTTATACACTGAATTTCTCTTAGACCTAAGGAACTGTGCAAGGGAACAGAGAGGATAAACAGAATAAAGCCAAGCTCCACTATGCAGCTACCAGAGCTCCCTGCTGTGGTGAGGATGTGACTTAGCAACTGACTAATGAAGACAACCTTGATTGTCCATGCAATACTGCATTTCCTGACAGGATCTGGCCTCTAAGACTGACATTATCTGAAATAGCAACTTAAAACATTCCTCAGCCAGTGAGGCACACCTTCCTATACTCATAGTTCTTCCTCCTCAAGCATCCCTACTCACACATCAGCCCTGCAGTGTTCCCTCCCTGAAATTCCATCACCTTGTTCAGGTGGCAGGTTTAAGCAGAAGACTCTAACATAACAGGCCCGGAGAGTCTATGAAAGAGCTGCTATTTAATATATTTTCAAGAAAATAGTATTTTTTCAAATAAATCATTTCCATTTCTCAGTGCCTAATGTATTTTGTAACACTAGAACTTAGGATGAAAAAAAAATATAACAGGTTTTTTACAATCTGCATTACAGCCTTGATTTTATTTCAAAGTGTCAGACTCTGTGTCACTGCAAGCAGACATTCCCCCAGTGGCATTTGTACGCTGCCGACGCAACAGACGCTTCCCAGGTTCTCTCTGCACAACTCCATCAAGACAAGAAAGAAGTTTATATCTTTTTTTTTGAAAGCTACAGCAAAACTTCACACATGATGGCCTTAAATGAGCAGCTACATATTTGTTTAACAGGAGTTTTACTCCAAACTGGTAGTTTGCAGGATTTGTTTTTGGTTTGATTGCATGCAACAAGCCAAGTACTCTGCTCCTGCCAGACCAAGACACAGCTTGTCAGCAGGATCTGTCACCTCCAAGCTTTCTAGGGCCCCTGGTGATTAAAGGCTAGGGCCAGTGAGAAGGCAGCACAGTTCTGCTCTGCCATCCACCACATCTCTGCTGGATGCTCAGCACCCTCTGACCAATTACCTAATACTGCTCCACTAGCCGTTGACATGGCCCATCTTCCAGCCTGCAGTCTTAACTAACTTGACTCATCTTTATTGATTTGAGGAAGATGACAGTGAGAATGTGAATGTCACTGTTTGACGCAGGCAATACTGTTCATACTGGAAGATTAAATGGGGGTCTCCATACTATACGTGAAGTGGCAGAGATCTTCTGAATGGTGATCAGCTCTGAAAAGCTGTGGTCTCCAGGAAGATGCCCTCTCTGTCAGCTGACAATTTTGCTCCTGCCTCATATTCACACAATATATGCGCTGTTTTCAAATGTGTGTGTTTCTTAAAACTCTGCAGTATCTCACATACACAAAATTTCTTACATGAAAATTGCTTTGTTGTCCACCAAATCACTAATCTGCTCTTCACATAGAATGTGATATGGATGTGATCCTTCTTTTATAGGTTGGCTAGTTGAGAGATAGCTAGGCATACCGTGCATCTTCTCCTAAATTCAGCAGCAGACCTAGAAGAGGTAGAACCCAGACATCCTTCTAGCTCCCTCTTCCGTGGTCTTAACTGTACAGAACATGACATGAACATTTGGTAACACAAGTTTAGAAGACAACTTTTGTAGGCAAGTATCCCAACACAGTACTGACTTATGAAAACTGTGCAAACCAACTGTAGAAGACTTGGATGTAAAGGAGAAATCTGGGAAGCACAAATAAGCTAAGAAAGATTTCAGATCTTATCCTGCAATTAGAACCACAGGGGAAAATCAGATCGGAGTCTCAGTGACTTTGACAGCACCCACCCTGGACCAACAGGCACTTCCAGCCAAAGCAGCTACACATTCATCTCATGTTATTATTTCTCTTCTGTAACTGATACATTCTTGCATTTAGGCAAGCAATTTCCATGAAGTTTTACATGAAGTTTTATTAGCCTCTGAATTCCCTGAAATCTATGAGAACTTCCTGAGCTTCTACAAACTTGTTGCTATAAAACCAAACCAAAATTTAGAATGAGCAGCTCAGAAATTTCCTCTGGACAAGGATGTCAAATACTGGAATAAAAATTCCGATTTTCTCAACTCCTGTGTATTTTAAAAATAAGGCAGTGCATACAAAGACAAACATTAGCTGAAGTCTTACATAACTTACACTGCAATACCCTCTTGTGGTCAAACAAAACTGTTTTGTCTAAACACCTGAACCTTTTCCTCCATAAAAAGCCTCTCCAGACATCTTTTCCTTCGACAGAGGTAAGTGAGTAACATTTTTCACAGATGACTTTGTAGTGCGTATCATCACTTGTCTGGAAAAACCAAAAGATGAGCCTCAGTCAAGTTCTTCCTCAGAATGATGGGCACCAACACTGCTTGTCACATAAACTAATCCCTAAACAAACTCCTAAGCAAAGGCACCGTCTCCTACAGTGACACTCATAACTTTTTTGAAGTTTCATGTCACTAACCAGAAAAAATAAGATGCTATAATCAATTTACATAGAAACATGTGGCACAAAGCCATACTGAACATCAACCTATTCTACTGCAGGACGAAAAGAAGTATACAGTAGATCAGGTGTACCAATTCAAATTAACTCACTGCTTAAATGCCCCACATTGTAATAATGAACAAATAAATTGTTAAACTGGCAGATGGTAATACAAGGGGAAACTGTTCAGTCTCTGCAGCAGTTCTGCTGAGCTGCTACTCTAGGAAATGGCCTAAATTGGCTAAGCGTATATCCAGTAAGGAATCTATAGTAACACCCAGAAATGTCATCCTTGCACTCATCCGGATGTGCTTTAACGGTGTACAACCACACCCTGATGTCTTCTAGTCCCAACAGAAAATAGGATAATTTTTAAATTACCAGCTTTTAGTGACCAATTTCTGGAAACAGCAGATACATTTTAAAGTCATATTAATATATATCTTTTTAAACTCCAACTTATTTAAACAGCCATGATCCCATTCCCATCTATTGTTTTCAGAGAAATCACTTGAACGTTATGAAGTATCCAATGCCTCCATTTTGGTTTAAGCCTACAGATGCCCTAAACAGTTAAGACTTTCTTCTTTTGTGAGGCTGAGGAGTCTCAGGCCAACAGAGCTGGTTGTAACCTAAGAATTCACTTACAAAAAGATGTTTTGAAAGACACTTTGTACCCCTACACCTGCATCAAAGCTATGGTAGTTAAAGCTCCTGCATCTTTGCAGACACCACTCAATGTCATAGGCATACCTGCTTGTAATCCTTCTGATCCAGTTTATTCAGTGGCTGCAAGTAGTCAATTGGAAGCTATGTACTCAGCTCAATAACCATCTTTATTATTATGTTTCATTTGAAGAAACTGAATTCAAGGAAAGATTAGAACTGAAATAACTCAAGAACTTTGTAAACAAGAGCTAAAAAGCATTCCATGCATAGGAACAGATTTCTCATCAAGATCCTTCCCTGACCTGATCAGGAGCTAAAAATCCCATGCACACTGATTAATGCACTGGGTCTTCCGAATGTGCCTCAGCTTCCTTTTAAAGCAGCTACATGCTTCTAAAACCCCATTCTCCAACCAACTGCACACATTCCAACTTGGACTTGACCCTGGAACAAATGCAGCAGAATAAGCAGATTCCACAAAAGGAACAGAGACAACTATCAGGTTAGGTTGGCAAACAGTTTGTTTCTTCAATTCAGGATAATGCTGCATGAATACAAGACTATTTTCTTTTTGGCTGAAACAGATGAACAACACTATTTAGGAATCAATTGTCTCAGAAAAACAAGCAAATAATCAAAAAGTCTACTAAAATTTCATTCAAACCCAAAGGAAAAATTATGGTTTGAGGTGGAGTTTACCTCTTATGTTACTGCAATCTTCAAGTCAGAATAATTTTTCCAAATATAGAAGTATTTCATGCATGAAGTGTTTGGGTTGTACAGTTGCAACTATTTTAAAAGAAATTATTTGCCAAATTCAGCATCCATTTCCTGACACTGCAAGCAAATAAGTTTGCCAAAATCCCCAGAAAAAGTAGATTCAAAGTTCATTAGCATTTACCAGGAAGATGAAGCAATAGGATAGAATTCATCTGGAGCTAATCCACACTACTCAGAAACAAGTCAGTTGAGAATTTCAGAGGAAATTTATGCTTAAAATACTCCCATTTTCCTGCAAGGTCACACATACTGGAGGAAGTGACTTCATACCACAGAAACCTAACAGGCTGACTGTAAAGACAAACACTGACATTTTGGACACTGTTTTGAAAATTCTCCCTTTGCATGCTAATAACCCTGTATTATGTTAATTGTTACTTAAAAACTACTTATAGTTGCTTAATACCTTCTGCAGAAATCTCTATAAATACTTAAAAGGGACTTTTGGCGATCTCTGGCTGCCCTTTTTTTTTAATCTGAAAATAAGAAGCTTTCAGGACAGATTCATTGAAATATCTTATTTTAGACAAACGAGCTCTGCCCAAAATCTATTTCAAGGCCCCAGCACCTGTCCCACTGGGTCTCTGCTCCCATTCTGATGAATATTCACAAGTCAGACTTACTTCCAATAGACAGTAAACACACTAGGGAAACTGGCAGCTTTCAGGTTTTGCTTCTGCTACATACCACAACAAAAGTCCTCCTCACACTCAGCAGCAATCTCTACAGCACCCTTTGCTACTAAGCCAGACTTTATTGTTCTGAGGAATTTGAATAGAATGTGGTCTCAGCTGCCAGCAGCAGTAACCCCCTCTTAAAGTGGGAGTTTGCTGAGTACAGCTGGAGATCTGATGGCTTTCAGTAGCAGTCATTTCTTACAAAACTGCAGTTACCATGAGAACTCCCTCCGCGTTCAAGCAACAAAGCAACATAAAGCAGTAGGAAATGAGCATTAAATAAGAGGGAAGTAAAACAGCACTAAGCACTGCCTGTTAGTGCTGCCGTGCACCTTTGTTTTCTGAAAGCACTCCAAATCAGCAGCTAAAAGAAAACTTAGGAGAGATGAAGCTTTGAAAGCGCAAAAAATAGGTTTAACATTCATAACACAATATACCTAATGATACTGGGATACAGTGAGTCTCAGAATGGACAAGTTGGGAAAGGGTTCTGGATTCAGAAGAAATATCTTGGTTAGGTCTCGGCAACCAGCAACCGCATCTCTGGGGCAACCAGCCTTAGCTCCATCTGTGTCTCTTGGCAGCACCCAGTCCAGAAGATCTGTTGTTGCACAGCCAGCTACTCAGGCTGGGGCAGATAAGCAGGCAGCACTGCAGCAGGACCAGGTTCAACAGGATAAGATCTGGAGAGAGTCTGTGGAGGCTGAACAGAGAGGAAGAAAGATTTGGTAAGTCACTTGCTTCGGTTCATGCCTCTTCTATACATCTTGACATTGGTACTGATGGTCCCTGACAGTCTTGGGGCTTGATCCTAAGCCTTACTATGAAAGGAAATTTTCTTCTGAAGGGACTTTGGATCAGACCCTACTATCTCTGTCTTCTCTGGACAAAATCTATGCTAGTATCTCCTGGCATGCTGGGCTTAAGCTGAAAGGGATGCAAAAAATTGCATGCTAAGTACCTTTTCACTTTATAGAAATTTCCAGGATTGATGCGCGGAAGTAAATGAGTCTTCCTCCTGTGGGTAGGGGGCTTCAAGATGAAGTAAATGAGTCTTCCTCTTCCTGAACTTTTCACCTTTTAGTCTTCACGTATGGCCTTAAGGTTTGGTCCCAGCCATCAACCATCTGCTTCTCCCCCTTAACAGTAGATTCAGGGGTCTGCTTTTCCCTATCAATAGGTGCTTATCAGTAGAATCAGGTGTCTGCTTTTCCTTGTCAATAGAACCAAGTGTCTGCTTTTCCTTGTCAGTAGTTAGTGCCTTTGTTCTGCTTAGTAGGCATGATAGGTACAGACAATGCCTTTGCTTAAGCGATCGAATTCCTCTAACCCCCCTGTACAACCCCCCTGTACAACCCCCCTGTACATCGGTCAACCCTCTGCATCAGGATGAAGATTTAAATGTGCCAACCTTTATAATTTATTGCAGACACACTATCACCTCTTCTCATATTCTTGGAAATGGCTGAAATGGGAGTTGAACAGAGTGTTCTGCCAAAATATGATTTTGTATTCCTAATCTGTAACTCTACTGGCCATGCCCCATTGTTACAGTGTTTGAGTAGACCGAACTGCACGCATACAACCTAAGCTTTAACTGTGTATATAGTGACCTTAAGGAACCCAAAATTAAGATCCTTTCTGTCTCTGCCACATATCTTGAGTGTTTATGCTCATACTTCAGTACACAGCATGAACGTGCCTGTTAGAAGAATATCCTTGGTAAAAACAAAATCAGTTCCAGCTCCCACTGTGCACTAGACAAGTTAAGGGAAAGGGAGGAAAAAGAACATCACTCTCAGGATTTTTAGAATGGGAAAAGAAACCATCTGAAAACCCTCATCCTCCTCAGCCTTCTGGAGGAGTTGCAAATCACAGCTCTGATTCCCCCAGAGACGCATTTGAAATCCTGTCTGGCTCCCTTCACCTGAGGGAAAGGCTGAGCCAGGACTCTTGCAGAGCCAGGACTCTTGCAAAGCCAGGGCCATGGTGGCAATGTTACTCTCCCCCAGTTGTGCAGTCAGACTTTTGCCAAATGGGCCCAGCACATTCCATACCTGTTCCCTAGCTAAGGCAGCAGAAGACACTCTGTACCTGCCCCCTGGGGTTCACAGTTAGGAATAGTGGTGCAAACTCATTTTCATGGGTAAGTAAGGTAACAGATCATTCAGCTGATGCATGTTATGCTCTGCAATCTTAGCTACAAAGACAGAAACTCTAGTAAAAGGGTAGGATGGGAATGTGAAGGACAGATGCCTAAAGCTGGATTCAGCAGACTACAAATGCTACAGTCTGCAGAGAACTGCCCTTCAGCTCTACATCCCCTACCAGAACTGATGATGGGGAAAGCCTGCTATGTGTTGGTGGTCTGACTTAAAGTGGATATAGGTAAACGTCTGAGACCCAAGCATTTCTCAGTAATTAACACCATCCAGTAACACCCAAATCTGTATGTTCAAATAGTGGCTGGCATAGTAAGATAAAAATTTTAGGATCTCTGGGCTGTGCTGGTATTCCAAAAGGTATAGTGATAAATATGACAATCATCAATTAGCTTTTACATGCACTTAGGTATATATGCACTGGACAGGGCAGTGCAGAACAGAAATTCAATGCTTCTAGCTCAATGGGGTACATGGCTCTTCTGTAGAGATATGCTCAACTCAGGACGTACATTCAGCACAAGACTGATGAGCTTAGATGCAGCACTGTATAGACACAGGTAACCAGCTCAGAGTCAACCCTGGTGTCCCTTGAGCCTCGCTGCAAATACAGCCGTAGGCAACTGCTTTCTCTCTTCACCTCACTGCACTTCTACAATAGCAGGTGAACTTTTGTTTTCTCAGTTTCAGGCCAGGGAAACCAAAGGACAGAAAATGAAAGGGCTTGCCCTGCAGTCCCACACCAAGTATAGAACTCAGCTGAAGAGCAAAACTCAGGTCTTCTGACTCAGTTTACTCCCAGCACAGATGCCTATCTGCACAAAATACTCCCACTGGCATTTGGCTGCAGCAAATACAGCTCTGGGAAATTCCCACCAAGGACTTCTGCCATCAGAGGATCTGTCACTTAGAAAATAAGAATCTTTGTCTTGCTCAAGTCATGGGTCAAAAGTTTGCTAGAGTGACTCAGGATTTTGCTTATTCATCTGCATTTGCACAAGGAATACACTGTGGACATGATACGCTCGTCTTCCTTTAGCAAAAAAGCTCCACTCCTCACGTAGTATGAGGTTCCCATGGGAATAAAAAAACACCCTGTGCTTCACCACGGAAGAGACAGGTTTTGATGCAAAGAGGTTGCAGGTGTAAGAGCTGGGTTGTAAGTATCAAATTAAGCAGTTAAATAGGTATTCAAATACAACCAACATTAACTATTCTAGCTAAAGACAGTCAATTTCACACTGCTATTTTTCACTTCTACCCCAAGGTACCAGAACTGGAGTTTCCTAAAGGACTATGACCAAATGGTAAGCTTTGAACAAACATTCAACTGTAATCCAGGCTCCTTTTAGTTTTCATCCATTCCAGCTAGGCTAGTATTTAAAACTGAAGCATACTTAGGCATAATTGGCAAATGCTATCAGACTAAAATCTTCGGGAAAAATAAAAGAGAACTGAAGTCCCTTTCATCTGCTACCTATGAAGCAAAGAAATAGAGTGCACGCATGTATTCAATCTGTTTCAGTATTAGCAGCTCCCTAGAAAGACAAGTGAAGAAGAACCAGCGTCCTAGGAGAAAATTTGTAAGATCATGTCATCATGCTGAAATCCAAGACACTTAACTAAAAATGAAACAAAATACCTCCCATTTCATGACCATTCTAGAGCAGGATGATTTCAGTCTCAGCTGACATTTTATGCAACACATTTGAAAATTATTCATTTCCCTGTGTTATCCTATTCCCACAAAAGACAGGAGAAAATAATTGCTTATTTCTTCAGCACTTTCATATACATTCAGTATGACATTTTTAAGTATATTCAAACTAACTTTGAAGGCAAAAGTGATATTATAAATAATCTCAGTAACTTGCATTTTTGTAACAAGCAATGGGTGTAATTCTGAAAACTTATTAATGGTGTTTGTTTTATCCAGGGTAAGAAAAAGGAGCAGAAGCCACTGCCAAACTATATGCCTGTGTTCTCAAGCAAAGTCCCTAACTCGACCAACCAGACTATTGGCAGTCGAATGAATACTGAACTTGGCAGGGATTTGGTACACATGGATTACTTCTTCAGCACTGGAGCACGAAAGAGGAAACTTGATGGTGAGCTCCAGCCTTCCTAGCACTTTGGTAAAAATGGAACAGTAACAAAGCCAGTTGAAGGGTTCTAGCCAACAGACTCCACAGCAGGTAAAAAATTCCTCAATCTTTTTCTCAGAAAGACCAATGCTACTCTTTAGCATGGATTTTCTTTCAAGAGCCAAAGATAGATGTTGGCCAACAATGCCACAGGAGACATTCTCGTTGTATTTCAGGTGGCTGGGCCACATAAAGAGGGTTAGAACTACAGCCCTCATCCATCTTTCCATGCAGTCTACAGTAAGGCTGCCACTAACATCAGAAAGATCAAGATTACAGCCAAAAGGCAATTACTCCCTAATTTTTTATCTCCTGAAAATAAACAATTAATGAAGATCTGCTGAGTCCCAACATAAACAACATATTCCAGTTCTGAAAGTTGGCGCAATAAAATCAGCAGCTTGTTGCATTTAATGTAATTGGCCAAGGATTCATCAGCTCTGCCATTTGCACGTTTAAGCTTGCTCTAAATAATAAAATTTAAGGCACGTGAGATGTGTTCTGTGCTTTTTCTCCCCTTCCTGCTGAGGAAAGGAGAACTATTTTTTTTTCACACTGGTTTTCATTTTTGATTCTTTAGATATGCTGCTCTCGAATTCCCTTAACTCTTGGAACTAACTGACAAGGAAGCAGGCTCTCACATTTTGCTCTGAAGGAGTGTTGGCTCAGCAACCTGTCTGACACTTTTAGGATCATCAACCTTGAATTTAACAGGTTCAGAGCTCCTAAAATCTGTGGTTGCCCAGGGAAACCAACATCAAGCTAAATCAATGCAATACCTGAAGCCTGTTCACCTATGCGCCTCTACTACATAGGTGCAAACTTTGATAACGACTTACATATGGCCTTTTGAACTATATGTAGCTTCTGGAGGATCATGCTCAGTCCTCTGTGGAAATCAACACAGAAGCCATTAGCATTGCCTTAACACAACAGGCAGCAGTCTCTCACCACACTGAGGTGAAGATGTATATACGCATGTTTTGCAACTAAGTCTATTTGTTTTTATGATTAGACCTCAGAAGGCAGTTCAAAAGCACAAGTGGTGGCATGAACAAGTGTGAGCACTGTCAGCACCCAGTTTCTGGAAAAAAAAATACCACAACAACAACAACAAAAGCACACAAAAAAGAAGGGAAGGGAAGGGAGGGGAGGGGAGGGGAGGGGAGGGGAGGGGAGGGGAGGGGAAAGGAAAAAAGACACTGTACAAAGAAGAGCCAAATCCCAGTCACTGAAGTTACAGCACCAAGCAGTTTTCCTCCTGGCTTTCCCAACACGGACAGAACAGCAGGATTAAGGTTTTCAAGATGACAGCTAAGCTACCTAAAAAAAGGAGATCATATTATGCAATCAGCCCAAGTGGACTGAGTCCAGTCAGCACAGATGTGAATTCTGATAGACAACTGTGTTCAGAGACACCAAATAGGAACCTGCTTTTGAAAGTCATCTTCTTGTTCAGCTAAAATGCTTTCTGCTCCCTCCTGTGAGCTGAAAATTGCACCACAAACTGGTTTGTCTTCAAACATCTGAAAGAGGGAGAGGAAAGAGAAGATCATACCTTTCCTTGTCCCTGCGTCATTTTCCAAAAGCGCACAGGCCACTCAAGAGGTTATATACTTACTGGTGACCTCATAACACTGAGAATCATTACACTTGTATGCCTTACTTGGAGACATACTGAGCAGCCTCAAGTCTTGATATGGGTCACAAACTCTGTATTGAGTGGCAGATGTCCAGTATCTGTTAGGCTTAAGCTCCTATTCATGTAAGAAATCTCATTTATAAAGCGTAGGGATTTTGTTTTTCAGCATGAAAGCATATAGAGCTCCACGTTTCCTAACCTCCAGATGGCACTCACTCCACATCAGGTAATCTACTGAAAAGGACACTAAATTACACGATTCCTCTTCAATTTCAAGCGACATTAAATAATTTCAGATTCTTGACTTTGTTTTCTCTGTGTAAATCCAGAGAATCCTTCTTCCAGAGAGTTCCTTCAAACTGGAGGATATGGGAAAGAGCATGGCCTAAGCAATGCATGATATAATCCCTCCACACTGGCTTTGTTTCAGCTGAAGCACTTCTCACAGTTCTGGGCAAGACCTTTCAGGTCTTACGCTAAAAATGTGTGCCACTAAGCAGTCTAGAGAAGCTGTGATGGTAACTGGAGTATGGACACATACGGCTTGTGATAAAAAAATTAGAAAGATTGGTTTTAATCTGAGGAAGAAACAGCCTGGCAAGAAGATAGTCTTTAGATACATTTATAGCTCTGGAATGAGAAAAGGTATCATTTGCACTTCATGTGAGTGGCAGACAATAGTAAATATCATAGGTTTAAATTACAGCAAGGCAGAATCATGTTCACTATTTGGGAAGTTAGTGGTAAGGCTAATACAACACTGGAACTGATTCCCCAAGGAATCTCCATGTGTGAAGGTTAAACACACACATCCATCAAGAGTGATACATTTAATACAACTTGTCTTTTAGTGTATAAACTGAATGACCATCTGAAGAGCTTTTCACCAATTCTCTGACTACACCAGAGTTGTTGGGATCAAAAAACACTTTGCAAACTTGTATTTTCAAACACATTCAAAAAGAAGAAGAAAATCTTATTTCAGTTACACCAGATTTAAAGAGATCACACCTCTAAAATGCATATTAATCACCTAAATTTGTTGATAGAAAATATATTTCTAATTCTTCTAATTACTTATAGCAAATGCTTTTCACAAAGCCTAGATGTGCCTCTTTCTTTTAATCACACACACCTAAGACGCTTGACTAGTGTGCTCCTGACAGCCACGCAAGAACACTTCTCAAAGAGCACATTCATATCCTTGGGTCATGTGGATCAATGGCAGTAACTAATTTTCTTTCAACGATTTCAGGAAGCCTTTACTAATGAAGTGTAGTTCTGATCGTGTTCTTAATCAGGTAGAGTGCCCATTGAGATGCCAGGCAGTTCCCACAGTAGGTACTTGTAGTGATTACATGTATACAGCACAGTAAGACCTTTATACACCCCTGCATGCCTTCTCAGCATTACTTTTCTGAACAGGTCACTGCAGTCCAATAGATCACAACAGGAAGATCTGTAGGTATACCTGAAGTGGAGCCAAATACACAAGAACTTGTGTATCAAATCCTTATCATAGAATCAGAATAGTTACGGTTGGAAAGAACCTTAAGATATCTAGTTTCAATCCCCCTGCCATGGGCAGGGACACCTCACTCTAAACCATGCCACCCAAGGCTTCATCCAACCTGGCCTTGAACACTGCCAGGGATGGAGCATTCCGGTGCCTCATCACCCTTACAGTAAAGAATTTCCTCCTTATATCCAATCTAAACTTCCCACATTTAAGTTTGAACCTGTTACCCCTTGTCCTATCACTACAGTCCCTAATGAAGAGTCCCTCCCCAGCATCCCTATAGGCCCCCTTCAGATACTGGAAGGCTGCTATGAGGTCTCCACGCAGCCTTCTCCTCTCCAGGCTGAACAGCCACAATTCTCTCAGCCTATCTTCATATGGGAGGTGCTCCAGTTCCCTGATCATCCTCATGGCCCTCCTCTGGACTTGTTCCAACAGTTCCATGTCCTTTTTACGTTGAGGACACCAGAACTGCACACAGTACTCCAAGTGAGGTCTCACGAGAGCAGAGCAGAGGGGCAGGATCACCTCCTTCGACCTGCTGGTCACGCTCCTTTTGATGCAGCCCAGGATATGGTTGGCTTTCTGGGCTGCAAGCGCACACTGAAACTGGCTCATGTTCATTTTATCATTGACCAACACCCCCAAGTCCTTCTCCACAGGGCTGCTCTGAATCTCTTCTCTGCCCAGCCTGTAGCTGTGGCTGGGATTGCCTTGACCCAGGTGTAGGACCTTGCACGTGGCATGGTTAAACTTCATAAGGTTGGCATCAGCCCACCTCACAAGCATGTCAAGGTCCCTCTGGATGGCATTCCTTCCCTCCAGCGTATCAACCGAACCACACAGCTTGGTGTCATCGGCAAACTTGCTGAGGGCGCACTCAATCCCACTGTCCATGTCAGCGACGAAGATGTTAAACAAGACCTGTCCCAACACTGATCCCTGAGGGACACCACTCGTTACTGGTCTCCAGTGGGACACTGAGCTATTGACCACAACTCTTTGTGTGCAGCCATCCGGGCAGTTCTTTATCCACCAAGTGGTCCATCCATCAAATTGATGTCTCTCCAATTTAGAGACAAGGATGTCGTGTGGGACAGTGTCAAACACTTTGCACAAGTCCAGGTATGTCATCAAGTGCTTTACCGCTGTCCATCAATTCTGTAGCCCTATCATAGAAGGCCACCAAATTGGTCAGGCAGGATTTCCCCTTAGTGAAGCCATGCTGGCTGTCACCAAGCACCTTGTTGTTTTTCATTTGCCTTAGCATGCCTTCCAGGAGAATTTGCTCGAAGATTTTGCCAAGCACAGAGGTGAGACTGAGTGGTCTGTAATTCCCCGGGTCATCCATTTTCCCCTTCTTAAAAATGGGGGTTATATTTCCCTTTTCCCAGTCATTGGGAACTTCACCTGACTGCCATGATTTTTCAAATATGATGGCCAGCGGCTTAGAAACTTCATTTGCCAGCTCCTTCAGGACCCGCGGATGGATTTCATCAGGACCCATGGACTTGTACACGTTCAGGCTTTTAGGATGGTCTTGAACCAGATCCTCTCCTACAGTGTGCCCAAGGTCTTCATTCTCACAGTCCGTGTGTCTGCCTTCCAAGACTTGGGTGGTGTGGTCAGAACCTTTGCCAGTGAAGACAGAGGAAAGTGTCTGTTTAGAAAACAGAAGTTTCCCATGTAGGATAGATCTGATAATCCATGTGACACAGGAACATTCTGTTGAACTGGACACGTCATTTTGTTCAATTACTACACTTCCCTTGGAAATGCCAATTATTCTATGTCGCTGCAGTCAGCCCTGCTCTGATACCCAGTGCTGGATCTCTCTACCACATACAGCAACCTCCAGAAAAGATCTTCTGGAAATATCCAAGGTCCTAATCAAAACTGCTTTAGCATGTGCGAGTAGAAGATACTCTCTAGATGACATTTTCATCTCAAGTTTAACAATCATTTTTCTTTTACCATAATTAACCTTGCCAACCAATCCTTATTTACAAAAGCAGAATCTCTTAGAAAGACTGGATAATAGCACTGAAATCTGTAAACAGTCAGTGGAAATTCCATTTATTAAAGTGATTGTGTAGATATTAAACGGTTTCTAAGCTTCTTGTAAAGATTTCTTATGATGTATCACTCGTGCTCCAGTTTTAGATGCTTTCTTGCCTTTTGCTGCCAGACCTCAAACAAGAGATTATATATGTTTAGACAATTAATGTTCTGTATTTCTTTTAGTTAAAGAGCACAAGTGGGTAGCTATATTAATTTAATTCTTCTATTAATTACACTTTGTCTAGTAGACTTCTGAGGATTGCTAAT